AATTTATTAAAAATTCAAAATTGAATGGAATTAGCTCAAAGTTGATGCACAGCATAAAGATATGTACAGTATGTGTATCAGAAAAAATTATAAAAATGTAGATTCCTTTTCTAACAATTTTGAAATACCCTGGTCTATGGCCCAATTTTTGAGCAACTTAACAATCTACTGACAAGAAGCTGCATGCATGACTACTATGCTAAATTCCTGTGGGAAACCCTGGTACTACATGTACATGTATATAAATTTAAACTTTATATTTTGTTGCTGATCATTTAGGTTTCTCACCTTGGGATTTGGAGCAAAAACCCATGGTCTGACTCTACTGGTAAAGTGAAGGAGGATCGTGATGGCTTTAAACTCCCTCCTGGGTGGGAGTGGGAGGATGAGTGGGATAGGTTTATTGGTGACTGGGAGGTCATGACAAGTATAGACACTGGAGAGTATCAGACTCAAAGAGGATCCAGGAAATACGAAGAAAAGATTTACGAGTATCAGTCTAGAATGCCTTTCTCCAACTGGCCATCCGATGAGAATGAGTCAGAGTGGAAGAACGAAGTAATAAATAATTGGTTTCATGGAGCCTTTCACTCACTTTCCTTATTAGGAAGGTCATTCGCTAAGTTATTATACTGAAGACTCAAGGCAAGTTAGAGACACATTGGAACTACCTGATGGCTGGGAGTGGGACTCAGAATGGAGCATAGCCCCTCCACACAGAGGGACAGATAAAGATGGTATGTCTCATTTAAATTGCATGTACATTACATAAAGTATCTTGGCTTTTTGTGTACATGTACATTGATTATACACATTAAGTAAATGTAATTTTGGCAAATACATAAGTTTTAATTTGGCAAATCTGTGGCCACTTAAACCATTGGGCATGTCTGTAATAGATTATTTTGGCAGGTTTTATTTGGTAAACACTAAATTCTTTCTCCTCCAAAATTACTAGCTAACATGTACATGTATACGGTATTATTTTACATGTATATTTACAGGATGGGAGTACAAAGGATTATTACTGGCAAGTGGATGGGCTCCTCGTTCAAGGAAGAGCATTACAAGAAGAAGACTCTGGAATAGGACTAGAATTCAAACTGGTGATGCATTCATAAAAGTATGTCACTATTTGATCAGAATCAGTTCAAACCTTCTAAATGTCATAAGTATGATGCATGTATATGTGTTGGAAAATGTAATAAAAATTCTCTCCTAGTCATTTAGACAAAATTTTGCCAGATAAACTGCACAGGAACTTTGGCCAGATTTAATATTTATCTAAAATTTAGTGATAATTAGCTAAAATGCAATAAAATACTCAGTAATTTTCACCTAAAAATAAGTAAAAAATTTTGGCAAATTTCACCTAAAATTAGATGATATACATGTATTTAAAAAGGAGTGCAATTTCTTATTTTTAGACTTCTACTGGTGATAAATATAAAGGATGGGAGTATGCTCATATCAGTAGCAGTACATATCATCAGGAACACAGTCCATTGTTTGGAAAAAGAAGACGTCGTTACCTTCGAAAGATTAAAACAAAAACACAAGCCAAACTATCTAATCCACCAAGATTTATTTTCCCTGAAGTAAATGAAATGAGCCATACATGTATATCAAAATACATGTACACATACAGTTTTAATGTGACGTGCTACAATGATTTCATATTGTACAATATTCATTTATGCATTCAAATGAATTACATACATTTATGAATTTGTTGTTTTGTTATAAGGTTTTTGTGAATATTTCCTATAGCATCAGCAAGTTCAAGTTCCGCCACGTCTTTATTTTCCAATGAAAGGTATGAGTTCATTGTATAGTCATGCATGTACATGTACATGTAATGTAATATTATAAGCTGCTAGGAGCCTCAGCCTTTTCTTTAGCCTATAAAGTATTCTCTTGTCACATTTACAAGTACTTGTACCGTGTACATGTTTAGCATATTAATGTACATCTATCTCTATACAAGGTCTGTTTAAGTATGAGCTACGAGTTTACTTATATCAAGCACGTGATTTGTATGCTGGAAATTCTACTGGATTATCTGGTTAGTTTGCAGTTCATCATTGAGACCATATCTGCATGTACATTAAATAGATCCATACTGTATTGTATCCTTTGAGCATTACAGCCAAACGACACGCGAGATCAATCAAACTCTTACTCCATTGTGGGACCACACTTGTGTTTTTGATGATATTAAGATGTTTGGTAGTCCGTCTGATGTCAAGGGATCTCCTCCTAAAATTATGATTGAGATATTTGATAAAGATAACGTGGTGAGTATTATGAGTGGATGTTAATGAGTGCATTTTCAGCATTTGCACTACATGTACTCATACAGGGACAGACATTAGGGGCTAAAACTATGACACCATTCCTTGAGAGCTGAAGCCTTTGGCTCCCATTTAATATGGGGTGGGGTATTATATGATATGATAATTTTTGTAGAAAAGCTTTAAATTATAAAGAGACTACTCATAAGAGCCTGGTTTACACTTGCCATTAAATGCAATACAAATGAACACAAGATTAAATTTTGGCCAATTTTGTGTCAGCTTCAAAGTGTTTTTGCATTAATGCCTATGCAGTTTTGATCGTTTTGTTAAATGTAAACCTAGCTTAAGAGTGCTTGACCATGTATAGCCATATCGACCCATTAGGTTATGAACATTGTACATGTATTTGTTTAGGGTAAGGATTACCTTGGTTATGTTGAATGCTATCCAATTGTACGTATTAATGAAAACCAGCAACAAAGGAGACAGGTGTCATTGGAAGAGACAGAAGAAGTCCTTCATGTTCCCTTTTCCCTTGAAGGAGCTGAGCCAGTTGATGAGCCAAAGGATCCAGTTACGTCTCTCTCTTGGTATCAGGTCACACGGTATGGTCGCTATGCTGGACAACTCTTAGCTGCTTTTGAGCTGTTCCTTGTAAGTTGCTAGAGTGCTACCATTAATGTTAATCACATTTACATTGTATTCTGTATATATAGTGTTGTTTTAGTTACAACTACATGTATGAGACTTTTAGTTAGTAATATAGTTAGTATTGAATATTTATTCTCATTCTAGTTAGACTTATTAGAATTATGAAAATGAAACTCATCTACTATTTTTGATGATTTCTAAATCAAATGATTCATTTTAGGTTGATAGTGTTTGTCCTCCTCCTATACTTGAAAGAGACTATGGTGAAACTGATAAAAAGAAGTGGTGGTACACTGTTCCTCATGGCATTAGACCAGAGTATGAGACCAAGACTATTAAAGTGAGTACCAATAAGAGCCTATGTACATGTATGTGTATTATATAAGTCTATTGCTACAAGCATATAAACATGTATTGTATGCATGAATTTTAAGTACATATTCCTGGCATATGATTAAGTGATGGTGATTATCATTATTGTTTATATCAAATTATTTATTATTATTGTTACATATGGTTATAATTTTATTGCTTTTTTGTTGACAGATATTGTGCTGGGGTGTTCGAAATCTTAAGAAGTATAGATTGGGATCTGTAACGTCACCTTTTATTAAGGTCGAGTGTGGAGGTGTGACAAAAAAGACTAATCACATTATTGACACTAGGAGGAATCCTAACTTTACTGATGGCCCAATTATCATGGAACTGGTTAGTATAATTATTATTAGTAATATTAATGAGACAACACATTTGCTAATAAAAGTAATTATAATTATCTACTCTTGTTGTTATACTTTTTAAAATTTATTGGGAACATGGGCTCCTGGGAACATATTCAAGACATTATTTAGAAGTTAGTTCTGCTTTACATTCTCTTTCATACACAATGTAGAAACTACCAGTTAATCCACTGTATTGCCCTCCACTCAATATTTATCTTTATGATAAAAGAGCATTTGGACAGAAACCACTGATAGGAACTTATTCTGTTCAGATAACTGAAGACAGTCCTACTGAGACTGATAGACCCAGTCTCCGGCACAATCCTTTAGAAACAGCAAGTAATAATTACTATAATGATTTATTTGCACACATTGTATAGTTTTAATAATTTTTGGGAATATGACTATTTAGCACTGATATTGGCATATATATTATTGTGCTATGACATACAGACATAGTGACATGTACAATGAATATACATCTACATGTAGTCAGGGTTTCTCACAGGATTTTGGCATGATGCTCATGCAGCTTCTTGTTAGTGAATTGTCAAGTTGATATACAGGATAAAATTGCAAGAAGAGAATTCTCCAATTTTATAGTTTTATTCTGATACGTTGTATGCATACATATCCTTATTAATTTTGAGTTGATTCTAAACAAATTTGAATTTTTTATGAATCTTTTAAGTTGCTCAAAAAATTGGGCCAACGACCAAAGGCTATAATGGCTTAGTCAAGTGGAGCCTGACCCTTGCATAAGTCAGGCCCGCCTGACTAATAATGGCTAGGGCAAAATTTCTATTTTTATAATTTTTTTCTGATACATATACATGTTCTTATGCTGTGTAAAAAATTTAGCATATTCTGATTGAGTTTGAATTTTTTTGTGAATTTTAAAAGTTGCTCAAAAATCAAGACTGTTAACAACCAAAGGCTATCCTTTGGGTCTTTGGCAAAATTTTTTCAAAATTGGCTAAGACAACATTCTCTATTTTTATCATTTTTATACACATACATGTCCTTAATGCTGTGTATCAATTTTGAGCAGATTCTCATTAAATTAAATTTTTGTGAATTTTTAAGGCTTTTTTTAAATGGCTAAGACAGAATTCTCCATTCCTTTTATTTTTTTTGATACATATACATGTCCTTATGTTGTGTTAAAGTTTTAACTGCTTGCATACATGTACCATATTACCTTGAATAAAAGCCGGATGTGAATAAACGCCAGGGTAGCAATGGACTTCAACTATAAATACACATAGCTAGCCTATAAGTAATTCAGTAGCCTTGTGGATACTGCCTCAAGTTCCTGAAGTCAAATGCTTAAAGTCATGGGTTCAAATTCCACTCTGAACCCAAGTTTTTTTTTTTGAGGTCCAAATACCATTTTAGGAAATAGATGCCCGGGCTTTTATTTAAGAAAATACAGTATATGCATACTTATGTTGTGTAGAAATTTTAAACTGATTCTAATCAAAGCTGAATTTTTTGTAAATTTTACAAATGTCATTTGTACTGTATTGTATTGCTTGTCAGCTGCTGTTTAGCTCATTTAGCATGTTTTGCAGGAAACCCTGCCTGTGTGTAGTATTGTTTTACTGTACATAATTTTTATGCATTTGCAGATACACTGAGGCAAAGAAAAACCAAACAAGGACAAGTTGCTATTGATATGGAAACTTTCTTAGATGTAAAAATTATTTTTTTCTTACTCTCAATGCCAAAAATTTATTTTTTATCATTATTTAGGAAGACCCAGACTATATTAAGGACAGTAGGTTTGACTGGTGGACTAAGTACAGATTAGCTGTCTTAAAAGCAACAGGTAGTAAACTTCAAGATTCTGAAATAGAATATGTTAATGAAAATCATGATCGCTTGAAAGTAAGGAAATGTAATTAAAATGAGATAGTGACAAACTGTCTGGTAGCAATTATAATTATTATTATTTTATTATTATTGTTATTTTAGCTCTTTCATCATGAATTGGAAAAAGAGCCAAGGTTTCATAATTTCAGTGACGTTGTCAAGAGTTACCCTCTGTATCGTGGTAAAGGATCAATTGCATTCGATGATCCATCAGAGAACACTAGATTTGCTGGTACTTTCAAGGGACACATTACAGTTAAAAGGGGAAAGCACACAGCAAATGAGTTTGACCATAAATACATTCCAACAAAGGATTTATGTCCTGTTGTAATTAGAGTTTATGTTGTTGAAGTAAGTAAAGTTTGTCACTATATTACTATAATATCACAATAATATATACATGTAGCAATAATAAATAATAATAATAATAATAATTTTTGGGAGTTTTTTTGGTTTTGTAATTATAAGTAGTAATAATGATAATGATGATTATTCAAAAAATATCACTATTATAAATACTTTTTTATTTACTAACAGGGAATAGGACTGCTACCACTGGATCCTAATGGCAAAGTTAGTACACACTATAAATAATAATGCATTCCTAAATATTAATTCTCTCTTCCTCTTTAATTTTCTAGTCTGATCCATATCTTAGACTCAGCATTGGGAAATGTGTTATGGATGATGCTGACAACTTTGTTCCTAATTCATTAAATCCAGTTTTTGGAAAGATGTTTGAGCTATCAGCCACCCTCCCTCTTGATCATACTCTTAAAATTCAAGTACTTGATCATGATTATGGTTCAAGGGATGATTTCATCGGCCAAACTGAAATAGATATTGAGAACCGGTTTATTTCTCGGTACAGAGCTAGTTGTGGCATACCAGAAACCTTCTCAAAGTAAATGAATGAAATTTAATTGCATATGCAATGTATCTATATGAGATATTGATGCATGGCATGTATTACAGTTGTAGTTTATATAGAGTATCTCATTTATTGTAAAGCTAGTAATTTCAAGATGTTAAAATTTTTGACAAATTGCTAAATTTTGGCAAATTTGTCTGTGCATGATGATTTAAAATCATGGAGCATTTGGCTATCAAAGCATCAAATTTGGACTCCAAAATTGCCAGTTATACTGTTCTTTTTTGTCTTGTGTAGGAATGGTCCTAATCACTGGAGGGATACAGATTTACCCACTGATATATTAGATTGGTATTGTAAAGTTAATGGCTTGAAAGAGCCAGTAAGAACTGCTAATGGTCTCATTTATAATTATGACGAATACACAATAAATCATACAGGTACAGATAAATAAAACATTAACTTTATAAAAAGATTAACTATAATAAATTTGAAATACTTCAATAACTTACATGTGCATGTATATGAAACTGATGATTGAAAAGGCTACAAATTTTTGTTAGTTTTTCTGATGCAAGTTAATTTTTAATCATGCTAAGCAAAAAATTTGAACCATATTATTATTGATGAAATCTATGAAAGTGCTCTATTGTTCCTGTTATATGGAAAATGTGTGTGCATACAATGCATGTACATGTACATTGTAATTACAAATAAATTTCATTTAATTTTGTGATGTTAATTAATGATATATTGCCATATTTTTAATAGATTTGAAGCCATATATGCGACAGCATAAATATGTTGGATCACCTATACAACAAATAGCGTTAGCATTGCTTAGAAGAGAAAATGTATTAGTTCATGAACACGTTGAAACTAGAACACTGGAAAACCCTAACCAACCTGGAATATCACAAGTGAGTTTATAAAAACATTTTCCAATACATATACATGTATTGTAAATGTTCAAATAAAAGCCTGGGCGTTTATTTCTTTCCAGGGCAAAAAAAGTTGCGTAAAATTAAAAAAAGAAAAAGTAAGACTGGGATTTGAACCCAGAACTTTAGGTTTAATCCGCTTAGCTGAACAAGTTAGGCCATTTGGGACACTCTAAAGATTATGGACCTATATTGAGTAAAATATGCGTATCTATACTTGGAGATTCTTAGTGCCAGGCGTTTATTCAAGCCCAGCCTTTATTTAAACATTTACAGTACTTATGTTATGCAGAAAGTTTGAACTAATTCCAATCAAGTATGGACAATTTATGAATCTTTAAATTTCCTCCCAAAATCTGGCCAAAGTCCCTGTAATACAGGGACATTGGCCAAATATCATTAAAAATGATTAGGAAAGAATTCTCCATTTTTATAATTTTTTTCTGATGCATATACATGTTCTTGCATTGTGTAGAAAGTTTAAGCTAACTCTGATTAATTTTAAATTTTTTATAAATTTTTCAAATTGCTTGTATATAGGGATTTTAATGCCTGTACAGGGATTTGGCCAAATTTTACCAAAATTGAAGAAAAGAGAGTTGCTCAATTTTATTGCATTTCCTATTACATATACTTCTACTTATGTTGTGAAGAAAATTTGAACTGAACTCTCCCCTCCATCTCTAAAAATCTTCCAAGCAGGAATGCATATTTTGCCTAGTAAAGGTACCCTAGCATTTAGATTGCTACAAATAGTGTGTACTTAAGGTTGTGGGTTTCATTCCAAGTTTTTGTATTGTTATTTCATTTTGTGCAATTTTTCCCCTGTTAATAAATAAACACCCAGGCATATTTAATTGAGAAAATTTGGTACTATTGCTTTTAATTTTTGTCTTATTCTAGGGTTCACTGCGTATGTGGGTGGACATATTTCCAAAGAGTTACAATCTTCCTCCTCCTGTTGATATATCACCGCGAAAACCTGAGGACTATGAGCTAAGAGTCATAGTTTATGATGTAAAGGATGTCAAGTTGGCTGACTATAATCCAGTGACTGATGAGGAAATGTCTGATATTTATGTGAAAGGGTGAAGCTATTTTTATGTAATTATATGTAACGGCATAAACCAGCTTTTGGGATATTATGTTGCATTCTACCATATAGGGGTATATTTCATGGAGATTTAATTTTGCTAATTTCACGGTTTTAAAAAAATTTGTGAAAATTTTTATTTATGAAAATTATTTTTTACCATACTAATAATGGTCAGTAGAAGAAAAAAAGCAAAAATTTTTCCTGTGAATAGGTGGAAAGGTGATTTTTGTGAAGTATTTTCCCTGGGAAATAACCCCCTATACAGTATAGTAAATGGTGCTGCTACATAATTATATTAATATTTGAACAGTGGGCGGCTGTATAGTGGAAAATTTTGTTGATTTTCTGGTTTTCCAGAAAGCACCAAACCTTTCAATTGTTACCAATATTAGCTAACATGTTTAAGATTGTTAAATTTCAAAAAAGCAATTTAACCAACCAGCTTCTCAAAGTAGCCAAAATTTCTCACCTCGGCTTCAATAATTCCTATTACATGTACACATGTATATGTATCAAAAAATTTAACCTTCTCTCTCTTTCTTTTTTCTTCCCTATACTTGTTTCACTTTTTAGTTGGTTGAGAGGGCAAGAGGAAACACAAAAAACTGATGTTCACTATCGTTCGTTTGATAGAGAAGGAAACTTTAATTACAGATTTGTGTTCCCATTTCAGTATTTACCAGCTGAGAAGAGAATCGTTGTCTCAAAGAGAGTATGTGTGTAACTTTATTGTATATTTAATGTTGTTTTTCTCTCCTTTTTTATCTTTATGTGATTTTACCTTAGAAATTTTTCGATGTTAATAAAACAGAAATTCGAGCTCTCCCTTACCTCACCATTCAAGTTTGGGACAATGACAAGTTCAAGTTTGATGACCACCTTGGCAAGTCATGTACATGATCATTGCTTTGTTTACTTTCACATTTCAGGAACAGTTGAGTTTGATTTGACAGCTATACAACAAGGAACTAGAACTTCGTCCTTCTTAGATCAAATAATGAGTATTGGCTCAAATATATCATACTCAGATCAAAAAAGTACTGACTCATCAAATACTTCATCCAAACAAATCCTGACTACTTCTGCCTCTAAAACATCATTGAACCAAGTTCTGAATACTTCTGACTCTACTGATAATCTTTTTGAGAAGAAGAGAATCAGAAGATGGTGGCCTCTTGCTGATGAAGTAATGATAATATTGCCAGTGTTGTACTAATGTAAGTTGTATAGGGTATGATTGAGTTAGAATTGCAAATACTGACAAAAGAAGAAGCTGAATTGTCACCAGCTGGTAAAGGACGGGATGAGCCTAACATGAACCCATACCTTCCACCTCCTCAGTAAGTCAAAAACTATAGGTAATAATTATCATTATCTATTGCAGGCGACCTGAAACATCATTCTTTTGGTTGACATCTCCTCTAAAGACATTTAAACACATAATATGGAAGTATTATAAATTTCACATTATTATTGGCATTTTTGTTGTCCTAGCTGTGGTTGGGGTAATTGTATTCATCTATTCAGCTCCAGTATGTCATAACATGATATGGTCATTCTTTACATTATTGCTCTTTGTTTCTTAGGATTATTTGGCTCAGTATCTTCTGGATCGATTGCTTCCATTGTAAAAATTTTAATCATGCATCAGTTGCTGTTGTGATATTTTATATTTTATATTTTTATAATGTGCCCTATAGTTTAAATTTTTTTTTGAACTAAACAGAAACAGTTATTATTTCAAATAGCAATATTATACAACAATACAACTGATTTTACTTTGAACAATTCCTCCCAAGTTTGTTTCAATTTGTTATACTTTTTTATTTCTCTTCATTGCACAATTCATTTTGTGTGTACATTCATAAATGAAAAACTTACAATTTTGTAGACTTCTTTTTCTTTTCTCTGTGATTTTTTTAATTTTATAAGCTACAATTGAAAGCAACTAAACTCATTATCATGCTTTTTAGATCTAAATATTTTAATACTTTATAGATAGGCTCTCATCATTTATATATGATCATTGATAAAAGCTCAACACTCTTTTCGTTTTTTTTGTCTCAGTTTTATATGGCTTCAGTTTAATGATTTCTGCATTGATAGCATTCATAAAATATAAATACTTTAATATTCAGTTCACTGCTATTGCATTTACCATTTTAAAACAGTCATTATATTGCTTCATAATAAGAATCAAGTAAAAAATATTTGTCAAAACTTGCATATATATGAATGGCTTAAGTGTTATGCATTTGTTGCAATATTGTGACAAAAGCATATCCCTCATAATGTCAGTTTTGTATATATCTCAGTAAGCATGAATAATCATGTTTCAGTTAATTCAATAAACATGACAGTTTCTTTTTACATAAATAAAGTCCACTCTTGATAAGATGTATATATGTGTCACAATTAAAATTTGTCTATTTTTCCTTAAAATAAGCTAAATCTTAAACTGCATGTTTATAAACATGTTATTGTTAAATATAGCTATATTATGTAAATAACTAACATGATACATGCAATACCAGTGAATTAAAGTATTTTTATTCTATGAATGCTACTAATGCAGAAGTCAGCCATACAAAAAGTAAAAGAATAAGGATAAGAAAAAAATGTTGAGCTTTTATCAAAGCTGATATATTAATAGTGAGAGCCTAGTATTAGAAATATTCAGATCTAAAATGCATGACAATGACATAGATATTAGAGTACAGGAAATTATCATGACAATGATGACAATATCTATGATGATGAGAGCTTAGTTGCTTTCAATAATTCAATTGTAGCTTATAAAATCAAAAAAAAACTATGGAGAAAAAAAAGAAGTCTAAAAAATTGTAAGTTGTTTATTTATTAATGAACACATGAAATTAATTGTGTAATAAAGAGAAATAAGAAAAATAATGAATTGAAACAAACTTGGTATTGCCGTATATTACTATAATGCTGTTTGAAATAATAACTATTCTGTTTAGTTCAAGGAAAGTATTTTAAAATTTAGAGTATAGAGCACATTATAAAAATATAAAGTATAAAATATCACAACAGCAACTGATGCATGATTAAAATTTTCACAATGGAAGCAATCGATCCAGAAGATACTGAGCCAAATAATCCTAAGAAACAAAGAGCAATAATATAAAGAATGACCATATCATGTTATGACATACTGGAGCTGAATAGAGGAATACAATTACCCCAACCACAGCAAAGATAACGAAAAAACCAATAATAATGCGACACTTATAATACTTCCATATTATGTGTTTAAATGTCTTCAGAGGAGATGTCAACCAGAAAAAAGATGTCTCAGGTCGCCTACAACAGATAATAATATTACCTATTGTCCTTGACTTACTGAGGAGGTGGAAGGTATGGGTTCATGTTGGGCTCATCACGTCCTTTACCAGCTGGTGACAATTCAGCTTCTTCTTTTGTCAGTATTTGTAATTCTAACTCAATCATACCCTATACAACTTACATTAGTACAACACTGGCAATAATATCATTACTTCATCAGCAAGAGGCCACCATCTTCTGATTCTCTTCTTCTCAAAAAGATTATCAGTAGAGTCAGAAGTATTCATAACTTGGTTCAATAATGACGTTTTAGAGGCAGAAGTAGTTGAGATTTGCTCGGATGAAGAATTTGATGAGTCAGTACTTTTTTGATCTGAGTATGATATATTTGAGCCAATACGCATTATTTGGTCTAAGAAGGATGAAGTTCTAGTTCCTTGTTGTATAGCTGTTAAATCAAACTCAATTGTTGCTGAAATGTGAAAGTAAACAAAGAAATGATCATGTACATAACTTACCAAGGTGGTCATCAAACTTGAACTTGTCATTGTCCCAAACTTGAATGGTGAGATGGGGACGAGCTCGAATTTCTGTTTTATTAACATCAAAGAATTTCTAAGGTAGAATCACAAAAGGATAAAAAGGGACAGAAAAAATCAACATTAAATATACAATATAAAGTTACACACATACTCTCTTTGAGACAATGATTCTCTTCTCAGCTGGTAAATACTGAAATGGGAACACAAATCTGTAATTAAAGTTTCCTTCTCCATCAAATGAACGATAGTGAACATCAGTTTTTTGTGTTTCCTCTTGCCCACTCAACCAACTAAAAAGCGAAACAAGTATAGGGGGGGGGGGAGAAAGAGAAAGAAGGTTAAATTTCCTTTGGTACATGTAATAGGAATTATGGAAGCGAAGCAAAGGTGAAAATTTTTGTTAAATTGTCTAATTTGATAGGCTGGTTGGTTTTTGGTAATTTAACAATCTTTACTAAATATTGGAAACAATTGGGTTTGGTGCTTTCTTGAAAATCAAAAAAGATCCACAAATTTTCCACTATAGTGTCCACTGTTCAAATATTAATATAATTATGCAGCAGCACCATTTAATCAGTTCTATAGAATGCAACATGATATCACAAGAGCTGGTTTATGCCGTTACATATAATTACATAAAAAATAGCTTTACCCTTTCACATAAATATCAGACATATCCTCATCAGTCACTAGATTATAGTCAGCCAACTTGACATCCTTTACATCATAAACTATGACTCTTAGCTCATAGTCCTCAGGTTTTCGCGGTGATATATCAACAGGAGGAGGAAGATTGTAACTCTTTGGAAATATGTCCACCCACATACGCAACAAACCCTAGGGTAAACAAAAATTAAAAGCATAAGCATAAAATTTTCTCAATTAAATTTGACTGGGTGTTTATTCTTGAACAGAGAAAAAATTGCACAACCTTGAGATTAGAGGGTTGCACACAGTATTTGGAGCAATCTAAATGCTAGGGTATCTATACTAGGCAAAATATGCATTTCTATAGGGAAGATATTAGAGTTGGAGGAGAGAAGTTCAGTTTAAATTTCTACACAACATAAGTACAAGTGTATGCATTATAAAATTGAGCATTTCTCTTTTCTTCAATTTTGGTAAAACCCCTGTACAGGGACTAAAATCTCTATACAGGAGCATTTTTTAAAATTTATAAAAAATTCAAAATTAATCGGAATCAGCTCAAACTTTCTACACAATATAAATACATGTATATGCATCAGAAAAAATTATTAAAATGGAGAATTCTGTCCTAGTCATTTTTAATGAAATTTGGCCGATGTCCCTGTACTATAGTACAGGGACTTTGGTTAGATTTTGGAGGAACTTTAAAGATTCATGAATTGTCTACACTTGATTGGAATCAGCTCAAACTTTCTGCATAACATAAGTACATGTACATGTATTAGAAAATGTTTCCCTGAACTCACTTGTGATATTCCAGGTTGGTTAGGGTTTTCCAGTGTTCTAGTTTCAACGTGTTCATGGACTAATACTTCTTCTCTTCTAAGTAATGCTAACGCTATTTGTTGTATAGGTGATCCAACATATTTATGCTGTCGCATATATTGATTCAAATCTATTAAAAATATGGGAATATGAATCATTAATTAGCATCACAAAATCAAATGAAATTTATTAGTGTCATTTGTAATTACAATGTACATGCACATGCATTGTATGCACAAACATTTTCCATATAACAGGAACAATAGAGCACTTTTGTAAATTTCATCAATAATAATATGGTTCAAATTTTCTCCATAGCATGATAAGGGCATTAACTTGCATGAAAAAAAGTAATAAAAATTTGTAGCTAATTCAATCATCACTTTCACAGTTACATATACATGTGCATGTAGCAGTAAGTTATTGAAGTATTTTATCGTTAAATTTTTTGTAAAATAAATATTTTATTAATCTGTACCTGCATGATTTATTGTGTATTCGTCACAATTATACTTGATACTGTTAGCAGTTATTACTGGCTCATTTAAGCCATTAACTTTACAATACCAATCTAATATATCAGTGGGTAAATCTGTATCCCTCCAGTGATTAGGACCATTTCTACACAAGACAAAAAAGAACAGTACAACTGGCAATTTTGAAGTGTATAATTTTGGCAAATTTGATGCTTTGATAGCCAAATGCTCCATCATTTAAAATCATTATGCACAGACAAGTTTACCAAAATTTAGCAATTTGTCAAAATTTTACCCTTTGAAAATTACAAACTATATGATGCGTGAGCTACTCCATATAAACTAAGTTACATGTTACATGTACAATTGTAGTACATGCCATTAATACTCATATAGATACATGTACATTGCGTATGCAATTAAATTTCGTTCATTTACCTTGAGAAGGTTTCTGGTATGCCACAACTAGCTCTGTACCGAGAAATGAACCTGTTCTCAATGTCAATTTCAGTTTGGCCAATGAAATCATCCCTTGAACAGTAATCATGATCAAGTACTTGAATTTTAAGAGTATGATCAAGAGGGAGGGTGGCCGATAGCTCAAACATCTTTCCAAAAACTGGATTTAATGAATTAGAAACAAAGTTGTCAGCATCATCTATAACACATTTCCCAATGCTGAGTCTAAGATATGGATCAGACTAGAAAATAAAAGAGGAAGAGAGAATTAATATTTAGGAATGCATTATTATTTATAGTGTGTACTAACTTTGCAATTAGGATCCAATGGTAGCAGTCCTATTCCCTGTTAGTAAATAAAACAGTATTTATAATAGTGATATGTACATCTTACTTACTTCAACAACATAAACTCTAATTACAACAGGGCATAAATCCTTTGTTGGAAAGTATTGATGGTCAGAGTCTATCTCTGTGTGCTTTCCCCTTTTAACTGTAATGTGTCCCTTGAAAGTACCAGCAAATCTAGTGTTCTCTGACGGATCATCAAATGCAATTGATCCTTTACCACGATACAGAGGATAACTCTTGACAACGTCACTGAAATTATGAAACCTTGGCTCTTTTTCCAATTCATGATAAAAGAGCTAAAATAAATAATAATAATTATATAATTATTACATTATAATTATAATTGCTACCAGTCAGTTTATCACTATCTCTTTTTTAATTGCATTTTCTTACTTTCAAGCGATCATGATTTTCATTAACATATTCTGTTTCAGAATCTTGAAGTTCACTACCTGTTGCTTTAAAGACAGCTAATCTGTACTTAGTCCACCAGTCAAACCTACTGTCCTTAATATAGTCTGGGTCTTCCTAAATAATGATAAACATAAATTTTGGCATTGAGAGAAAGAAGAAATAGTTTTTACATCATAGAAAGCTTCCATATCAATTGCAACTTGTCCTGACTTGCTTTTTCTTTGTCTCAGTGTATCTGTAAATTATGTACAATAAAACAGTACTATACACAGGCAGGGTTTCCTGCAAAGCAACAAAAAAGGCGCTTCCTCAATGCCACATGTAAAAAATGGCTGCTCAGAACAAAAATAAAACAAACAAAAATTTCTAATCCTGCTTAGAACAAACATTTTTCCAGACAAAATATACCCGCTATACAGTAAGGACATGTATATGTATCAGAAAAATGGAGAGTTCTATCTTAGCCATTTTCGACAAAATTTGGCTACAGACCAAAGGCTATCCTTTGGTTGTAGGCCCAATTTTTTGAGCAATTCAAAAGATCCATAAAAAATTCAAATTTGTTTAGAATCAACTTAAAATTGATAAGGATATGTATGTGTACAATGTATCAAAAAGAAATATAAAAATGGGGAATTCTCTTCTTGCAATTTTATCCTGCATATCAACTTGACAATCCACTAACAAGAAGCTGCATAAGCATCATGCCAAAATCCTGTGAGAAACCCAACTAGATGTATATTCATTGTACATGTCACTATGTCAGTGCAATGTATGTCATAGCACAAAAACATATACCAAATCAGTGCTGAATAGTAATATTCTCAAAAATTTATACAATGTGTGCAATTAAATCATCATAATTATTATTACTTGCTATTTCTAAAGGATTGGGCTGGGGACTGGGTCTATCAGTCTCAGCAGGACTGTCTTCAGTTATCTGAACAGAATAAGTTCCTATTAATGGTTTCTGTCCAAACGCTCTTTTATCATAAAGATAAATATTGAGTGGAGGGCAATACAGTGGATTAACTGGTAGTTCCTACATTGGGCATGAAAGAAAATGTAAAGCAGAATTAAATCCTACCAGGAGCCCATGGGAGCCCATGGGCTCCTGATCCTACATGTAAATAATGTATAATGTTCACAATAGAATTTTAAAAGTAATGACAAGAGTAGATAATTACTTAAGGCTAGTTTATATAATGACATTAGGCCAATGTACCATCAATTTTTAATCAAAAAGTATGGGCCATTTGACCTTTTGATGCATGCTTTCTGCTAGAATAGAACCAGATTTTATTCCAGTGTCTACATAACATCAGGACTTGCGTAATATTGTAAACCAGCATTTACTCTTGTTAGTAATTATAAGCAAATGCGTATTGCATGTACTTCATTTATTCTCTTATTAATATTATTAATAAAATTATTATACTAACCAGTTCCATGATAATTGGGCCATCAATAAAGTTAGGATTCCTCCTAGTGTCAATAATGTGATTAGTCGTTCTTACCACACCTCCACACTCAACCTTAATACAAGGTGATGTCACACATCCCAATTTATACTTCTTAAGATTACGAACACCCCAGCACAATATCTGTCAACAAAAAAGCAATAAAATTATAACCATGATACATGTAACAACAACAATAATAATAATAAATAAATAAATAAATAAACAATAATATTAATCACCATCACTTAATTATATGTCAGGAATATGTACATAAAATTCATGCATACAATACATGCATATATGCTTGTAACAATAGACTTATATAATACACTGTATAGGCACATCGGTACTTATTGGTATACTCACTTTAATAGTCTTAGTCTCATACTCTGGTCTAATGCCATGAGGAACAGTGTACCACCACTTCTTTTTATCAGTTTTGTCATATTCTCTTTCAAGTATAGGAGGAGGACAAACACTATCAACCTAAAATGAATCATTGATTTAGAAATCATCAAAAATAGTAGATAAGTTTCATTATTGCTGCATGGTCTCATTTTTATAATCATAACAAGTCTAACTAAAATGAGAATGAATAACTAACTACATGTATATTACTAACTATAAAAGCCTTATACCAAGAGTGGATGTACATGTAGTTGTAACTAAAACAACACTATTATACAGAATACAATGTAAATGTGATTAACATTAATGGTAGCACTCTAGCAACTTACAAGGAACAGCTCAAAAGCAGCTAAGAGTTGTCCAGCATAGCGACCATACCGTGTGACCTGATACCAAGAGAGAGAAGTAACTGGATCCTTTGGCTCATCAACTGGCTCAGCTCCTTCAAGGGAAAAGGGAACATGAAGGACTCCTTCTGGCTCTTCCAATGACACCTGTCTCCTTTGTTGCTGGTTTTCATTAATACGTACAATTGGATAACATTCAACATAACCAAGGTAATCCTTACCCTAAACAAAATACAATGTTCATAAGCTATTGGGTGAATATGGCTATGGTCAAGCACTCTTACTGAGTATAACTACTTTATAATTTAAAGATTTTCTACAAAAAAAAATAATTACATGTATGTCACAAAATACCCAACCCCATAGTCAATGGGAGCCAAAAGACTTTAGCTCTCAAGGAATGATGTCATAATTTTAGCCTGTCCCTGTATGAATACATGTAGTCCAAATGCTGAAAATGCACTCATTAACATCCATTCATAATACTCACCACGTTATCTTTATCAAATATCTCAATCATAATTTTAGGAGGAGATCCCTTGACATCAGACGGACTACCAAACATCTTAATATCATCAAAAACACAAGTGTGGTCCCACAATGGAGTAAGAGTTTGATTGATCTCGCGTGTCGTTTGGCTGTAATGCTCAAAGGATACAATACAGTATGGATCTATTTAATGTACATGCAGATATGGTCTCAATGATGAACTGCAAACTAACCAGATAATCCAGTAGAATTTCCAGCATACAAATCACGTGCTTGATATAAGTAAACTCGTAGCTCATACTTAAACAGACCTTGTATAGAGATAGATGTACATTAATATGCTAAACATGTACACAGTACAAGTACTTGTAAATGTGACAAGAGAATACTTTATAGGCTAATGAAAAGGCTGAGGCTCCTAGCACCTTATAATATTACATTACATGTACATGTACATGCATGCATGACCATACAATGAACTCATACCTTTCATTGGAAAATAAAGACGTGGCGGAACTTGAACTTGCTGATGCTATAGGAAATAAAAACCTTATAACAAAACAACAAATTCATAAATGTATGTACATGTACGGTAATTCATTTGAATGCATAAATGAATATTGTACAATATGAAATCATTGTAGCATGTCACATTAAAACTGTATGTGTCCATGTATTTTAATATACATGTATCATTCATTTCATTTACTTCAGGGAAAATAAATCTTGGTGGATTAGATAGTTTGGCTTGTGTTTTTGTTTTGATCTTTCGAAGGTAACGACGTCTTCTTTTTACAAACAATGGGCTGTGTTCCTGATGATATGTACTACTACTGATATGAGCATACTCCCATCCTTCATATTTATCACCAGTAGAAGTCTAAAAACAAGAAATTGAACTGTGATAATACAGTGTTTGAGAACCTGGGGCAGGAGGGGCTAGACCCTGCCAGGAACAGTGTTGGTACTGCCCGCATTTAAAATATATTTTAGGTTTTCAATCAAGTTTATGTGATGATTGAGTAAATTAGGTGAAATTTAAAAAATATAACATATTTTAAAATATATTCTTCCCCCATTTTAGGTGAAAATTGCCAAAATTTTTCACTCTTTTTTAGGCAAAAAATTACTGAATATTTTATTTAATTTATCACTTAATTTTAGATGAACATTTTCATAATCTTCAAAATTTGGCGATATTTTCTGTTAAGTATTTTTGGCAAAATTTTGTCAAAATGACAAGGAGAAAATTTTTATTTCATTTTCTGATGCATGAATGCATACGTATGATAATTAGAAAGTTTGAACTGATTCTGATCAAAATAGACACATACTTTTATGGTTGCATCACCAGTTTGAATTCTAGTCCTATTCCAGAGTCTCCTTCTTATAATGCTCCTCCTTAAATGAGGAGCCCAGTCACTTAATAATAAATCTAATCCTTTGTACTCCCATCCTGTAAATATACATCTAAAATAATACCATGTACATGTTCATGTACATGTAGTTAGTAATATTTAGTGCTATGATAATACACTATTATGGTGGTTTAAGTGGCTACAAATTAGCCAAATTAAAACTTACCAATTTATAGCTATCTGCCAAAATGACATTTACTTAATAATGTGTATAACCAAGTGTATACAAAGAGCCAACATTGTATTAGTTAGGCATAAGAGAGAAGGAACTAATTTATTGTAAAATTTTAAAAGTACTTTATGTAATAAACCATAGGGTGCCTTTTTTTGAGGGCTATAGGTTTCGCGGATTTTAATTTTGCAGATTTAATTTTTGTAAATTTATGCCGTGCGCCATCTTGTACTGTATTAATTTGATTGTTGCGGGAGTAATTTGAAAATCGCAAAATGCACAAAATTTACAGCCCTTGAAAAAAAGGCACTCTACAGTAAGTACATTATGCAATTTAAAAGAGATATACCATCTTCATCTGTCGCTCTGTGTGGGGCTATGCTCCATTCTGAGTCCCATTCCCAGCCATCAGGTTGTTGCAATGTATCCCTAACTTGCCTTGAGTCTTCGGTATAATAATTTAATGAATGACCTTCCTAATAAGGAAAGTGAGTGAAAGGTTACATAAAAGCAATTATTGTACAGTGGGAAATTTTGGAGGGAATTAAATTTGGTGAATTTGGCACTTTGATAGCCATTCAGCAAAATAAATATATGGCATTTTGATCCATTAAGCACATGCTCAATGGCATGTGGCCACAAATTCGCCAAAATAAAATCTGCCAATCACCAAAATTTAGCAATTTGCCAAATTTAATTCCCTCCAAAATTTCCTGCCATACTGTATTTCTTACTTCGTTCTTCCACTCTGAGTCATTCTCATCAAATGGCCAGTTAAAGGGAGGCTTTTTATTTCTAGACTGGTACTCGTAAATCTTTTCTACATATTTCCTGGATCTTCTTCGAGTCTGATACTCTCCAGTGTCTATACTTGTCATGACCTCCCAGTCACCAATAAACCTATCCCACTCATCCTCCCACTCCCACCCAGGAGGGAGTTTAAAGCTATCACGATCCTCTTTCACTTTACCAGTAGAGTCAGACCATGGGTTTTTGTTCCAAATCCCAAGGTGAGAAACCTAAATGATTAGCAACAAAATATAAACATTTATATATACATGCAAGTTGCTAAAAAATTGGGCCAATGACTAAATGCAAGAGTAGATAAATAGCCTTTCATCTTTGGCCAAATAATATCAAAAATTGCTAGAAGAGAATTCTCTATTTTTACAATTTTTTCTGATACACATACATGTCCTTATGCTGTGAATCAACTCTGAGCTGATTCTGATCAAGTTTGAATTTGTTACGAATTTTTAGAGTAGCTCAAAAATCAGGCCAATGAATAGGAGAGAATTCTATTTTTTATAATTTTTTTAGATACATATAAATGTCCATATGTTGTATACAATGTTTGAACTGATTCTAATAAAAAACTGTTTTTTATAAATAAAATTTTAAAAGTTACTCTGAATGCCATACACTGTATTGTAGCTAGTGCATAAAGCATGCTATCTTAGCATGCTTTGTGGGAAACCCTGTGTGTAGTACAAGACATAAACAAATGCATAATAAAAATAACAATTGAACCTCATTTTCATATGTTTCAGCAAACATAGCAACATCTGCACTCATATTTTGTTTCCATTCTGATTCGAGCCCCAGCCATAGTTTAATTCTAATTAAAGCCCCTGCTGGCTCAGCGTTTTCTAGCTCTTCTTCATTTTCAACAGCTGGAGGCTAGAGAAGGTATATTATTATCATTTACCAATACAGTAATAATAATGACACTACAATCTACATGTACAATACATTGTCAAACTAATGATATTAATACAAGAGACTTAGGGACTAAAGACATAATTATGGGAGATGAATAATCTATTACTATAAATGT